CAGGAATTACTCAGGGTAGGACCTAATGGTTTGGTTGTAAAATACGTAAGACCCAGTCCTGGATCATGTCACGGAGGAGGTCACAGATGCCGTGTCCCAGCCGTGCTGCTTGTCCACGGCTGGCGAGGGCATGGAGCCTTGACCAGGGCCAAGCAGCGCTGATGGTGGCAGAACCCCGTGACAAATGGCTGAAGGTGGTGGCAGAACAGATCACGGGTGGGCAAAAGCAGTGACAGAACAGATCACGGGTGGCCAAAGGCAATTCCTTACCGAGCGCTCAGTCCCGCCAAGGTGTTGTCCTGTGCTGGAGCAGGAGCCTCACACCCCAGAACCCTGCAGGTCCCTCTGTCATTTTAAAAGTGTGCCTGTGCAAGCTGATGTGACCCATTCTTTGGGCTGCAGCGGTGTAGTTAACACCGTCAATTTTGAGGGGTAATCCACCGGTCTTCGTTACTGAATTGACCTCTGCCATCCTTGCTGACCTTTTGAACTCCCTCCTGGGACCACGGTGTGCTGGGCACTGGACACTGCGGTGCTACAGCGATACTTGTGTTGGGAAGAGGTAGGCTGGGCTGGCACCACACACAAGCAATGAGGTGTATTTCCTGAGGGTTTCTCAGTTAGAGATCTGAGCACTGTTACCAATGTGGGGTCTGGACACTGAAGTGCAGCATGCTAAATCAGATGGCAAAAATGTTGTGCTTATTAATTCATAATTAATAGACAATAAATCATTGATATAGAATTTATTAAACATTTTATGGGAACCTTCACCTGCAGTCAGATTGATTTCCTTGCTAGGAAAATCCGCTTTACGGTGGTTGTGGTATTTGGGGGATCAATAGAGCAGGTAGAGGCTTCTGGCAGCTCTGAGATCCAGTGGTATTTGCGGGAGATGCTTTGAGTACAAGGAAAAGTGCACGTAAGAACTGCACATGCTTGGTACAGATGCAGTGGTCATTTTTGTTTAAATTCTGATTTTTTTTGCTTTCAAGAGACATTCATAATGTTTAATTTCATTAAAAACTCAGACATAACATAAAGAAGTCAGCGTGTATTGCTGTGGGCACACACAATTCCGCCTCCCTGTCCAACACCAGCCCAGCCGTCGTTGTCTTACGGCGTGCAGACATCTGTAGGTGTGCGGTTCGGGTCTGGCTGCACCACGGAGTTCATAGCACGGGGTCAGCTCTGGGCCGGCCGAGCTCCGCAGTGCAGGACAGGACACGTGAACCACCGGGCAGCATCTGAAGTGACGTGGCATCTGAAGCACTGAGGTGTTTTCACATCACGTTTGTAGTCATGTTCTCGCTAAAACTTTTATTTTAAGAGTATTTTCAGAAAAAAATACTTTGCATGTGACATTTCTTGTGGCTCTATTGGAAACATTTTTCTTCAGTAAGTCCACGTGATAATGTTACTTGCTATTCGAAGCATTTTGTAAGCATTTACAATTTCCAAATATTAGGTGTTAAAACAAGAAAGAAAAAGTGCGTGGAAAAGTCATCTTCTTCTAAATGATAAAAGAGTATGGGAAAGAATGTGGTTGAGAACTGCTGATGTGAAATTACTGATAGTTTGGATTATGAAGTGTAACTTGCACACCCATGTACAAGCCTTTGGTGTTTGGGCATAGGATTAGGTTGTTTTATTCTCCTTAGAGAGACACAAAATCTGCAAGTGGTGAACTTATGTCCTGTAGACATCTCATAGTTACTGCGTGGTGCCACAGTAGACACTGAATTTAGACGCAGCCATAAATGCACATTTTCAGGTGACGTGGACGTGTTTTGTGGCTGATCTCAAACCTTGCTGCTGCGTAGTGATGAGTTGTTGAATACAGTCGGAACGGTTGGAAGTACACAGTGAAAGCTGTCAACAGCCAAGACCCCTGTTTCTACCTATTTCTGCCTATTTCTGCCTATCCTGGGCTTACATCAGCATTCCTAAACCCAGCCTCCTGTCTTTGCTCTTCTGCAATGCCCGAGGCTGATTAAGGCATCTCTTTGGATTGACAAAAGTGCCATTTCACACTCGATGTTTTAACATTGTCCCTGAGCCCCTCAAAATGTGCCTCTTGGACAAAAAACCCTCTTAGCTATTTCAGAGACAAGGAGTGTGTCCTGCGGCCATGGCTGCACCGCAGAGCAGCTGATTTTGGTGGTGGAGAGGAGCAGCCGCGCTGCCCGCGGCTCCTGCACAGCACCCAGCAGAGCACAGGTACGCGACTGCCGACCCCTTCTTACCAGAGTAGCAAATTAACTACAGCTTGATTGAACCAGGGCTATCGAAACCTCATTATATCCTATTAAATCCTTAAATAGTTACGTAGGAAAGCTGCTAATAGAATGCTACAAATCGTGCAAAAGAGCCCTTTTTTACGTGTGTGAAAGGAATTGTTCTTCCTTTCCCGTGTTCTGCAATTAACGCGCTCCTTTGCTCTGTGGTGGCTGGTATTTAAAACTGTAGTAGGCTTCCTTCCTGCAGTGCAGTGATATTAAGCCATCCTTATGAAAGGAAAATGACATTGCTTTATTTCTGAGATAAAGCCGCATATCATGGAGTAAATTATTCTTAATAGCTTACAAGCTTCAGATCATGTTTTCATTCCAGTTCGCAATCTGCATAAGATCCTGGATTGGTCTTATCTCAGATAGTTCATTGTAAATAACCTTGTCTTATAAAGACTTTAACTTCCTTTACAAGCTGACCTGATTCTAGGAAATGTTGGAAACGAAATCCTGTGTAAAACGAAAATGTAATAAAGATTTATTAAATTAAAATGCATAAAACTTCAGGTCTAATAAGGACAGTTTTATTAATGAATGTAAATGGCAGCAACCCATCTGAGGCACCTGCTAAACGTTCTTTATAAATTACTCTCATAGACATTGTGATGAGTTTCATATTGTAGCCAGACTTATAAAAGCATGCAGATTGCTTCCCCAAGGGACTGTATATTTACTTAACAGTGTAGTTAATTGCAATTATTTATTTTCCGGTGATTGCAAATGGCTTCTGCATTAAAGATGTATGTGGCTATTAGGAATTATTCAATTACCTCTCTTTTTCTCAGTAGTCTAAGTCAAACCTGACTGGGATTCCCAGAGGTCAGCAGCAGTGTATTAACTCAGCGTGTCCCTTAGCTTCCTGTGCTGGCTGGAGAAACCCTGATTACCCGTCCCCGCAGCT